GAGATCGTGCCCAGGTGGGAGTTCGGGGAGGCCCTCTTCCTGGGCTGGTTTGCTGGCTTCTGTCTTGTACTAGGGGGCTGTCTGCTGCACTGTGCGGCCTGCTCAAGCCCAGCTCCCCCAGCCTCGGGCCACTATGCAGTGGCAGGATTACCAGACTGTCAGCAACTGGAGCTGAAACATGCCAACCCAGAAATCTAAGCCAGAGGGACCAGCAGCCTCTCCACAGCAGGCGCTTGCTCCAGCTGGACTTGGTAGGATCTCCTGCTATAATCACCCCCACTCCCTGTGATTTTGATTTTCTGAAACGCGTACTTCCTTTCTGTGACTATTAACTTCTTCCAATACAATTTCTTTCTATCACTGAGCAAAGCATTTCTGTTTTCTCTTTGGAGGCCAAATGAATCAGGACCTATTAATGTAATCAGTCCTTAATGAGCCTGAGCGCTTCATCAACCTTTAAAATAGGCTGTGACTGTACACACACAGGGAACAGGGAAATAAAGCATTCTATGAGCACTTCTGTAACTCTGACAGGATCATTCACGTGGAGAGGAACCATGTGGGATACACATGTGATGGCTGATCATATACTTTCGGGTGTCTAAGATAACTTATGAAACTAAGGTTTCAGTGGATACATGACAACCAATGACAGTACAAAAAACAACATAAAACGCTTGCTTGGTCTTTAAGGGACTCAACGGGACACCCCCTTTTTAGAGACCTCAGTGTCTCTAGAGAGTCCTTCCCACACCAGAAACATCCATGCTTGCCTCTGGGCAGTCACCTTGGGTCCTGGGAATTCAGGTAGAATCTGCCACACAAAAGTGCACCTGCCTCGCTGTGCCCTGTGTTTCGGGGTGGGATGTCCTGCCTGCTTTGGCTCTGTGGCAGAGGACGGGACTGGTGTGTGTGGGCACAGTGCCCTCTGGGAGGGCTGCCTCCTTTTGAAGAACTCTGCCAGCTCGGGTAGTTTAACTGGGGACCACATACTCGTCAGTCCCTGTTTTCCTTGGGAAATGAAAATACTCCATCTCATTTATCCTTGATGTACACCGTCTAAACAAGAACCATTCATGACAAACTTCTGGCTTGAGGAGTTCTTCGTGGAACATTTTATATTTGCTTGGTACATGGTTCAAGTAGATTCTTGTATTTGTGCCAATCAGGGAAATTAACCGAACAATAAGAAACATTAAAATACAGTATTAGGAAATAGGTCTCTTTGTTTTTAAAAAAAGTCACTGAACTTATTTTCCATCGAGAAACACAGGGAAAGTGCCACCGTGCAAGGTCATCTGTGTGATGGATTTGCACACTTTTACAGACAGCACAAGTGAAAACAGAAACATATTCAGAATTTAACCTGATGAAATATTTAGTTCAGTCCTGAGATGATCATATTTAATATAACATAAATTCATAGCAAAACATTTTAAATGTACTGAATTTGTATGCTACGTAGACTCAGTTAAACTTTGTTCATTTGGCAAGTAATACCCTTCTTGTGCCTGTAACACTTGGGAGTCTGATCTATAAAACTGTAATAATATACTGATAATCCAAAGGTGAGAGCTAAATAGTAAATCCTTTTTATCCTGTGCAGAATAAATTCTACCTTTAAAAATATTTTAATAATATTAACATTTGTATGTGTCCATATGGTTTTATGATGGAGTTAGTAAGATGCTTTTGGAGTCATGGGTTAATACAAATGTGAGAGCCTACAGAAAGCTGCCTGTAATGTTAGAACATACCACTACTGCTGACTTTTAGAGTGTGGGCAAAGGCTTCAACTAGAACGAGTCTCTCTCATGCTCGAAATGAACATGTTTTGTAAAAATAAAATCAAAGTCCCCCAGTCACAACTGTGAACTACCAGCCTGAGACACACTTTATTCTTTAATACTCATCTGAGACTTTTTGTATTACAAAAAGTTAGCAATAAATCTGATGAAGATCATAAAGCTGTAAATACTCCAATATAGCCTCTTGTAAGCCCAACATTTAAAATGGCCAGAACCAAACTATATATTAAACAGAACATAAATAAGACCGTAAATAAATAAATGAAAATAAAATCGTACGGTACAACTACACAAAACTCTATGAACATTTGTATGGGTCACACTATGATGCTGAAGACAGCTGACCTTTACTGAGCGCTATATTAAATAAAACCCTGCTGTTCACATTTGACCTTGACAAGGATGGATGGCACTCCAGCTTCCTCCAGTCACCTCCAGGGCAGACCGGGCAGTCTGGAAGACTGGGCTCAGTCTGCCACTAGGCTGTTTTTTTGTTCCAAGTAGTGCCACGTCCAGTTACATCTTCTAAGAACTTGGGGATAAGCTGTGGAACATTTAGGGGGAAAACTGGGTGAAGTGTTAGGTGCAGTAACTCGATAATTGTCGTTCTGGCTAAGTGTAAATTTTGATTCTGATAGAATGAACTTTCTAAAATATGCATAGATTCAGGAAGATAAAAATTCTTACTAATGAGGATTCCAGCAGAACATAACTCTTTTTTTTAAACAGATCTTTTTCTTGCCTAACTTTCTTTTTTTTTTTTAAATTCCTATAAAATTATTTTGCATTAAAAAATAAAAATAATTTAGCTTGCTATATAAGACGGCTCACCAAAACACGGCTTCTTCCAGTATGACAGACTAAGTGAGTATGGTTTAAATTACCTAAAAACTATGTATTTTAACACTTTTATGCTGGCAAAGCTATGCTGATCCTTTCTTTCTTTCTTTCTTTTAAAGAAGTGCCCGGGTTTGGTGAGTTAAAACCTAACCCGGAGAACAGGGCACTTTGACCAGTTTCTATCTCAAGCTTGTTTCCCCCAGAAAATGTCTTTGTAAATGATGCAGTCCACGCTGCGAGTCCCCTCAGGCCCACCCTTGGCTTCTGCTTCCGGCTGCGACACTGACAGAGTCCCCTCAAGATGACAGCTGATAGATAAGGTCTATCTAGTAAGTTTGATCTCATGAGGGTGGGCCCTGACCTCCGCTCTCACCTAATGAACACGGGCGTGTCCCCTTTGCACCTCAGGCACTCCCGTTTGTCCTTACCTATGAGTGTCCCCTCTACCCCGCCATCAGAGCCCAGGGCCACCACATGCTCCTCCTTGGCTTTGTCTTTATCCCTACGACAAAACCCGGTGTGGCCAGAAACGGACAAAACCCTGCAGGTTCAGACTGCGTTAGAACTAGCAGCCACCCAAGCAGGAGGTGAGTTTCCTGAATGTGCTTTTTGGTAGCTGGGGGCCCCTCCTTTTCTCTCTACAGTAGGAATATACCTTTGTTTTTCATATTCTTGTACTCAGCACTTCATACTTTGGCTTTCTTTAGACAAGTTTAGGAGAGCAGAAACAAGGTGGCCGGACACAGCCGACGGGAGGAACAGGGCACCTCTTTCGGGTGGACTCAGAGTGATGGATGCTTGCTTGCGTGCACTTTCGATGGGAAGTGCGGCTCTCTAGCTCAGGAGTGTGATGGGGTGCCAGTGTCACGGCTACTGGACGGCTGCCTCCTGCAGTTGGCTCAGCAGGCCGAGCCCGGGCACCGGCCGCCTCTGTTCCGCTCTGCACAGTGGAACCCAGGGGTAACACATACCTGCTGCACAACCCGTGTGGACCAGATCGCCCCGTTTCCATTCCTTCTGTGAATGTTCTGTCCTTCCCAAAGCATGTAAGAGTTACATTCAAAGTACTTTACAAATTAACCTGATGAAATCGGTGTGAAATCAAAGTTCTTCAAGAGTTGACAGTTGTGTTACAGGAAACAAAAGCCCCGCCCCCCGACAAAAAATAGAAAACAACAAAAACAGTAAAAGTTCAGTCTTGGACCCTCCCTCGGACAGTGGGCAGGTGAGAAGTCATGTTAAGCCGCGAGGTCACACGAGGTCACACGTCGTCAGCGGGCAGGGACGGGATGCTGATCTTCGCTCGTGTGAAGTAGGCAATCTTCTCCCTAGAGGGAGAGAGGGAGGGAGAGCACCTCTCAGTGGGACCCCGGAAATCCTGAGCCCCAAGGCTGTCTCCACGATCCCAGAAACTTGGCACTTGAAGTCACAGGAGCCTTCATTGTTAATGTTTTCTTTTTAGAGCCACTTTTATTTAGTGTGAGTGTGAGTGTGTGTGTATGTGTGTGTGTGTGTGTGTGTGTGTGTGTGTGTGTGTGCATGCACATGCCACGGTGTTGGTGGGAAGTCAGAGAACAATTCCTATGACATTGATTTATGTGTGCATGCACACACACGCACCACAGCACACGTGTGTAAAGGTTGGAGTTGGTTCTCTTCTATTACGTAGGTCCTAGGGATTAAACCCAGGTTGCCTGCCCTGGGGACAGGTGCCCTTATCTGCCGGGCCACCTGGCCAGCACTTCACCTCAGTTTTTGAGATAGAATTTCCTAGTGAACTTGGACCTTGCTGAATTGGCCAGATCGGCTAGCCAGCAAGGTCCAGAAATCCTCCTGTCTCGGCTCCCTCAGCACTGCGGTGTGGCGGTTTACAGGCCATCTAGCTTTCGTAGGTGGGTGGGTGGGTGGGTGGGGGCTGATCTCAGGCCTCTGAGCCTGAATAGCAAGTGTGACTCACCAAGCCATCTGCCCAGGCCCTCGACTATCTTAGGAGGAAAATCACCCCGTGAGCCACAGGGTGACCTCACCACCCAGGCAGCAAGGGGCACATTCAGCCCTCACAGGTGTCCCGCAGTCCCACATGGTGTGACTGATCCCACTCCATCATGCCCCTCCTCCTCACTTGCCTGTGGTATCAGTGGGTTGGTTTATCACCCCCACCCCGAGAGAGGGTCTTATCATGTAGCCTCGGCTGCCCCGGCTGCCCTGGAACTCACTATGTAGACCAGCTGCCCTTGAACTTACAGAGATCTGCCTGCCTCTGCCTTTCTCCTGCTGGGATAAGAGGCGTGCGCCATCCGACCAGGACAGGTGGGTTTCTTACAGGGAACAGGAGTGTTTATGCATTCTTTACATTAGCAACTGGAAGTTTACGGTTTCCACAGCTGACAACATTACTTTCTGTGGAAGACCGCAGCATGCTGGGCGGGAGGGGCTCCTGCCACCACGCCGTAGCTGAAGACCCAAGCGGGAGCACTTCCTGCAGGTAGCCACGGTGGCCGGATAGCACAGTGGGCAGGGAAACCCTTACGTGAGGACCTTCAGCTCCTCAGCTTCTTGTCCCTGCTCTGAAGCCTCACTTGCCTGATCCCCGCTCCCACCCTTCAGAGCTCTCCCATTCACCATGAGTCCCGCCTTTCCCGCTCCCAAACTGCCTTTCTCCCGATTTCTCTCCACAACCTAAAAGCTAGCTAGCTTTCTCTCCTTTTTTACATTTATTCATTTGTGTGTGTATGTGCGTGTGTGTGCATGTATGTGTGCTCGCATGTGTGAGTGCATGTATACACGTGTGTGTATGTGTGCGCATGTATATGTGTGTGCTCGCATGTGTGAGTGCATGTGTACGTGTGTGTGTACGTGTGTGTGTGTGTGTTTGAATGTGAGAGAGAGGGAGGAGAGGGAAGGGGAAGGAGAGTCTGTGTATGGGTGACGTGTGAGGAAGGCAGGGGACAGCTCATAGGAACTGGATTTCTCCTTCCACCACGTGGGTTCTAGGCACTGAATTCAGGTCATCAGGCTTGGCTGCAAGCACCTCTGACCACTGAGCCATCTTGCTGGCCCAAGCTGAGACGCTCTCTCAGGACTTCTCTCTACAAAACCTAAGTCAAAACTAAGATGGACATACACCAACAAAGAAAAGCTTCCCTGTGATGTTCCTATCACTTGACCAACGGATACGGTCTCCGAGGCCCCATGTCGCACTATCTGGGGACATTTTAATCCTTTTCTGTCTTGGTTCAGTGTCCATCAGTCTGTCCTTTCCAGGCCTTCAGCTCCTGGACCACACCGGTGCCTCTCCTGGTCACCTTCCCCCACTTGCTTGGGTGTGTCGCCCGTTTCCACCGTGGGGACTACCACACTGAACCCGCAGGCTCCTCTTTTCCTCTCCGTGTGACCCTTAACCCCCCTTTAAGA